TTTTATCCATGTTAGTAAAATGCTTGATTGTTTTTGTCTTAAAATACATTATGTTTTGTAAACATTAGACATAAACGAACGTGTAAAGTTAATAGGCTTAAAGTTGTCCTATCTCGTTCAATCCCATCACATAAAGTAAAAGAGTTTGAGTAGATGATGTCGAAGGTTAGGAATCTCAATGGTGTTTGTACTTAGCTCGATCTTGGGATCCGGAAAACATTCTCGCTATGACAGTTGTTGAACTTTTCTGTCTGTCGAGTTGATGAGTTCAGTTTGAAGTATATCGGTTAAGGTTATATTGTGATTTTACTTGCAATCTTCAGTGAAAAATCTTCGAATCTATATATAAAGTTGGCTTTTACTATTTTCCTTAGTGAAAAGCGTAACTTAGACCTATATAAATACGTCAAGTATGGAGATATAACGGTTTTGTTATGAAGCCAACAGTTAGCTCCATAGTGGAGCCAACATTCTATATGCAACAAGTAAATCATACCATATTAATAAAATTTTATTAGTGTTATTTAGGTAATCAACGAATATGGTAGGTTTACTTGTTGCAAATAGAAGGTTGACTCAACTATGGAGCCAACTGTTGACTTCATAGCAAAACCGGGAGATATAAATCAAATCGCATTTTAATTTATTACTTACACAACCGTATTGGTCAGTTTTGCTATGAAGCCAACAAATGACTTCATATTGGAACCAACCTTCTCTACACAATAAGTAAATCATATCATATTCTCTTATTACTTAAATAAATACTAATAATTTTTATTAATATGATATGATTTTTCATATAAAAGGTTGGTTCCACTATGAAGTCAACTGTTGGCTTCATAGCAAAATTGTCGTATTGGTGTGTATTTTCATCTTTCTTGAACGTTTAAATATATATAAATATATATATATATATATATATATTTATGGTCGGGTTTGTAATCGTTAAATCAACTATTCCCGACATGATGATCTAACGGTTATAAACCTCCAACAGAATGGTAACGGGACTGTAACATTTCCTTATTTTTATGACGAACAGCTCACACTGTGTAAAAAATGGGTGAACTTCGAGTATTTATACGCCCCACACCGTACCATACTCTATCCAAACGAATTAACTTTTCGTAATATGAATACTTTCACACTTATATAGTATTTATATAAGTGTTGTCGAAGAAGTGAAGCTGGATATGAATTAATTAACTTGAAATTATTCAGGGCCCCATGGGATGGGATCTCTGTGTCTATCAACATCATCAGATTTACTACATTTACAAAGCATTTGTGAAATCAAATAAATATATTTTTCATTCCAAAACTACTCATCACATATGATATGATAATGATGGTCATACAAACAAACATTCACCCAGAATTCATGTTTCAACACTCATATCCCTCAACTTTAAAATTCCATAATTCAAAAAAAAAAAAAAAAAAAAAATTAATAATAATAATAAAATAAATAAATAAATAAATAAAAGAACCCCTACAAGGAGAAATTCTACAGTTCCGTTACGGAATCATTCGGTCGTAGTTTGTAACCGTCAGATCAACTATCCACGACAGTTACATGACGATCTAACGATTACGAATCCTAACGAAATGGTTTCTGACGGGAATATAGCACTTCCAAGAAAGAACAACAACGAAACTAGAAAACGGGGGTAAAACCCGGGAATAAAACGGTAAAAGTGGACGGTGAAAATGGATTTAAACTAATTAATTTAGGAAATTGCGTGGCAGAGAGACGGCTTCCACCTGCTGCGGCTCCGTTCTTCGTTGCACCTCCTCTGCCTTTTATATTTCTCCAAATTACCCTCATTTTCCCCGTTGATGGCGGTTTCTCCGTCCAATTCTGATCCCAACTCACTCCCAATCTCCTCGATTTCTCCCTTTTCTTCTTCTTCCTCCTCCTCTGCCGCCGCTGATCCATCCTCATCCTCGTTCTTTTCTCCGGCGGCAACGGCGGCGATGGTGGCCTCCGCTATCACGTAACTCAGGCGGAGCCTCCCGTCGCTCCTCTCCGCATGGAGGTACGCCTTCTTGAACGGCGCCTCCACAGCCTCGATGATCAGTCGCCCGCCCTCCCTGTGGCGACGAACCTGCACCGAGTTCTCGCCGATCATCGACGTCAGCGGTGGCGGGAAGCTCCTCGCCTCGCGGCGGATGGTGATCTTCGGAGGATCCGGGTGTCGCTTGGTGTAGGTGTCGATTTGGGCGTTGATATCTGTGGTCGATTGCTCGACCAGCGGCAGAGGGTAGGAGAAAACGGCGTCGTCGTCGCCGGCGCCAGGGATAAGGATGTCGCTTCCGGTCTCGCTGCCGAGATTCTCGGTGCAGAGCTCCAGTGATTTCGCGCTGAGGGAGGAGAATGAAGATTTATTGGCCCATGGTTTAGTGTCTCTGTAATATTCCCCTGTTTCTCGAGTGGCTGTTTGGAGGAAACCCCAGTTTCCAAATTCGAGTTTCGCCGACCGGTCGATGCCATCTGTCACCGCCGGGGACGGCGGCGCAACCTTCAGCTTTAGCGTGGTGGAGCTGGCTGATTCCAAGCTTTGGTAAACTATAGTGGACATGGTGAAGATATGTGTGTATTTGTGTGTGTGTGTGTGTGTGTCTATATATTTATATATATTTGTGTATGTGCTTGTAAATTAAACAAAAAAAAAACCCATAAAAATTATGAGCTGAGAAATTTATGTAGTTCGAGGATGATTGAATTTGTGTAATTTTTTTTATTTTATTTTATTTTATTTTTTTTAGCTGAGTGTGTGATATGTAGAGAGAGAGAGAGAAATGATGGAGGAGGGAATATTGAACGAGGGATAAGTGAGGGGAATGGGCGTCAATTTGTAGTGCCCCAAAGTGCTGTGGAGTGATCTTGTGCGTGTGTGTGTGTGTTTGTGAGAGAAAAATATGTCTTTGCCTTTTCGCACCACTTGAATTATACACTCTTAAATCTGCCACACAAATTGTAAATCCACTGGCCGGCCCGGCCCGGCCCGGCCCGGCGGTTTGACCAGAACCGGTTTGGAATAGGCCTGTGGTCAATGGGCCTTGAATTGGGTCCGTGGTTTGATCGGGTCGGTTTCTTGGTCCCATACATGTTAAGCAGTCGGACTGGTTTCGAACCCAAATAGGCCCGACAATTGGCCTTTTTTATATCTTTTAGTTGTTTTTTTAATTGAATCCGGGTCGGACCTAAATTGGTGGTTCACTAAATCGACCCGAAACTGCAAGCGCGTCGAATCGGCCCGTGCCAAAGTCCGGGCCGATTCCAGTTCCTCCAAACTCTGGCCTGCAATCGACGATTTCGACCCGAAACTAGAGTTTGGTCATGTCTATTGCAATTCACCAATTATTTTATCGAATTAATCGTTGGACAGGTCAATTTTGCGTCATATTATTTTTTACATTATTATTTATGAAAAGTCGTATTTTTATTTATATTATATTTTTAAGTTATGATATGTCACTTAAAATGAAAGTATGTATATTTATTAAAAGTAATATTCCATGTACCCTTATTTTTATTGTTTTATTTTTTTATTTTTCCTTCGTAGTATGCGCGTTCTTAAATTTGGAGGAATAAGTTTTTTTAATTGATGGTCTTTGCCAAGATTGTCAAATCGCGTTGTGTCCATATATATATATACTTCAATATCGTATTTTTTTTTGTATTATATCTATTTTATTTAATAATAAATATGATATTAAGTCAAACTTTAGCTAATTTATTTAGTTCGTAGCGTTCAACTTGTTTTAGGTCATATTGCGTCCGTCGTGTATTTTTCATCGTATCAAATTATATATGTAATTGTGTTTTATAATAATGCGTATGATGATGATCAGTTTCATTACCTCATGCGGATAACAAATCTGTTATGGTAAGGATGGCATATGCGGATAACAAATCTGTTATAGTAAAAAAAATAAGCCACGTGTACGCGACGTGGCGTGCCGGGCCGGAAATAGTAAATTGGGCAAAAATGTCATACTTTTGATCATTTTTTCATATTTTCTGCATTCCGTTGGGATCAAAATTGTCACCTCTATACTTGTGGGACTAGTTTTGAATTTTTCCCCAATCTTTTTTTTTTTATTATATTTATTTAAAATTAAAAGAAAAAAAAAAGTTTTTAGATAAAGATATAACTAATAAATATAATAAAAATGAGAATAACTATATATATATATATATATATATAGTAACTGTTCAATTTGGGAACAGATATGTGTGCTGATATGAATGATAAAGGTATGGAACACTCAATTGTTTTTATTTGCTAAAAGATTAATGTTTTTATAATGTAATGTCAGTGTGCAAGAAAGCATTATTTGTCTATATTTGCTAAAATATTACTGATATTTTTTATATTGTAATATTGGTGTGCAGCTAACTGGAGAGAGCATTCTTATGCGTGCAAATGGGAGCTCAATTGTCTGTATTTGCTAAAATATTGCTGATATTTTAGTATTTATTAAATTGGATAACCTCGTTACATTTATACTGTAGTATTGGTTATGATGTTATATAGTATATCTGAACATCAAATATACTTTAGTACATAAAACAGTGGTATACATGCATAACGGCATAATTTCAAAATTGGTCCCATAATTTGACCACTTTCCAAAACACTTCCCCGATATTGATCACTTTAAAACTTGGTCATATAATTTGACATTTTAATCAAATTTGGTCCTTTTGTAATCAATTTTGGTCCTATAATTTGACATTTTGGTCCTTTTTTTAATCACATTTTAATCCATGTTCTAGATTGTAACAATATGAAAAACATAAAATTTCTGTACAACTTGATTTTATTTCGATCAAACGATATGCGTGTACAATCTCTATTTATCTCCTCTGATTTTTGTCTTCTTGGATTTGAACTTGAGACCTTCAAAGATGGATTTGACGATTGAATCTCCTTCAGGCTTGGTCTTGAATTTCTCTAACATTAATTCGGGGGTCGAATGACTTATTCCCGTATTAAATGTTAGACCTTCACTTGATTGAAGAAGACTTCTTGGAGGACTTGATTCTTTGATCTTCTTGAAAGGGGATTTTGACTTGAGTAACGTTGATGTTTGTCCCATTTTTGTTGCATTTTTCATTATTATTTTCTCATTTTTTTTCCCCCATTTTGAGTCATTTAGTTGGTTTTAGTCCATTTTGTCATTTATTGTGTGTTTTTCTTCGTTTCGGTTTTCTTTGTGTTTTCCGCATATTTTTTCCGATTTTTCTTTGTTTATTGTGTGTAGGTCGAAAGTCTCGGGGAAACCGGATTTCAAGCGGAAGTTTGACAGTGCAAGCGTAATTATATAGAACTTTCCGTTGGCATCGCACTGGAGAAAACAGAGTTAAATTCTGTTTCCAATCGAACCCGCACGAACCCGAAAAGCAAAGTCGAGGAAGTAGTCACAAGCTCGTCCAGGCCCAGCACCACGCCAGCTCCGCGCCGTGCTGCTTCCACGAGGCCGACAGAGGCGCCCAGGTTTCCTTCACGTCGCGCCGCGCGCCTTGCCGCGCCGCGGCACACTTTCCTCTCACGCCGCGGCACTCACCCCACCATCACGCCGTGCTTGCGACACATCTTCGACAGAAGGTCAGTAAACATGCCCCGCGCCGCGGCAGCCGTCGCGCCGCGCTACCTGCCGCCAGTCAGACACCCAGCATGTTCCCCGCGCCGCGGAAAAGCGTCACGCCGCGGCAGACCAATTCACCGCGCCGCGGCGAAGCAACGCGCCGCGGCAACCTGTTCATTCTGCGCACCTTCCCAGCCACCACGCCGTGAGGGACCTTCACGCCGCGACACACATGCTCAGGTCGACCCTCTCCGCGCCGCGCCCCACCTTCACGCCGTGACAAGTCTTCCCACCGCGCCGTTGCACAGCACCACGCCGCGGAGATGCCGAGCTCCACGACGCGACAGATCCCTTGCTCGCGCGCTCCATGTTATTTTCACGCCACGTCGCCTGTGCATATAAATAGATGATCGGATTGCGATAAAAAGAACGATTCTCGACCGCGGGGTACCAACCCTAGGTCCCGAGAAAAATCACAACACTCAATCTCCTCCTCTTTCCTTCTTTCTCCTTCCTTTCTTCTTCTTCATCATCTTTCACTTTTATTTTCTATTTTTCACGTGGATTTTGTTCATACTCTTGGATGAAGCTTCTATGTTGGATTCTACATTTGAATTGAGATTATTGGTAAGAATTTCATTCTCTTATTTTAATTCATGAATAATGATTAATTTGAGTAGAATGATTATTTGTGTTGAATTCATGTTACATAGCTGATTTTTCTAGGGATAGGGGATGATTGTTCTCGTTTGAACTGTACTTGTCGGGCTTTGATTCGTTCATACTTATGTGCGTTGTTTTGATGAGGAATTGATAAATTTATAATTGATAGATTGATATAATCGAAAAGTGACATTTCGATCTTGCTATTGGTGACAGTTGGATGTTAATTTGTCGAATTAGGGTTTGTCAATTCTATATGATTAGTTGATTAATCACCTTCTAATTGACTTAGCGGCTTTCAGAACCGAAAGGGGAGAAGTCGTAGGAATAGGCTCACATAAGGTTGATAATTTCGTAACTGAATAGTCTATATGTTTTGGGTTGAAATACGCGCTTGTCGATGACCCGTCCCTTGTTACGAAAAGTTATTGGGATTGGGATAATTGGCCTGTGTCGTCTGCTCGAACTTGTTCGTCTATGTTCAATCCCTTGTTACGAAGAGTTATTGGGAGCGAATCGCTAGATGTATAAGCGAGAGTGTCAATCTCGAACTGAACAATTGATAGCCCGACTTGCTAGAACTTGAACTAATTACCCCCGATTCCCTAGCTTCTCCGTCTTTGTTTCGTTTATTCTTTAGTTAGATTATTGCTTTTATTTTATTTCTTAGCTGATAGTTTCTCATATCCATTATATGATTAGTATGTTTAGGATTTTATTTTCTTTTATGTGTAATCGATACCAGAGCTGAATTCAGAACTGCCTTCCTCGTGAGATCGACCCGGGGAACGAATCTTTCGATTCGGTACTCGGTAAAAAGAATAATTTGTACACAACAAATTTGGCGCCGTTGCCGGGGAAGGCAAGTAGGATATTTGGTCTTGATATTGATTTTATTTTCCGTGTTTCTCTTTATTTTGTATTTTTCGTGTTTTCGTTCTTTCTTTTGTGTCTCTTTGTTTGCTTCTTTGTTTTTGTTTTTCTCTATTCTTTTTCTTTCTTTTTCGTGGCTACGTTTGGGTTGTTCTACTTTGGTGTGCAGGTATCATGAGCTACAACCATACTTTCCCCTATTTGCACACCCAACCTTGGGTTCACGAGCCGAGCTATCACG